AAAGAAAACAGGGCAGGGCATTCGTCTCCAACTACCGAAAGCCTGGAACAGGCTACTTTCTCTACCGTTTCCTGTGTTTTACGAACAAAAAAAAAGAAAAATAAGCTAATATATTAGAAGTTTGAAGACTTTGAAGTTTTTGCCCCACGCACCATCGAGTTCTTCTCTTTTGAGCTCTTCGTTTACTCACCTTCTGATGGTTTCATGGAAATATTTGGAATAATCAACGCAACAGACCCACTTATATGCTCGGTTGTTTGTCCTTGGACATTGATATTATGTTCCTCGAGGCTCGCAGTTTTCCTCGAGCTACCCGAAAACTCTTGAATCAGTGCATTATCCAATGATCAAGTTTTTAATAAAATGGAATATTCCGCGAGTCCCTTGTATTTTCTCGGTCCTGTTATCGATTTGCTATCTTGACCGACAAATGGAACTTACTGTAGTCACTGTAGTATGGGTCTGGTATACAATTTTTGTCAGAAAGATCTCCCGCGTGCGCTCACAAACCACTTTATGACTGTTACACTCAAGTACTTACCCTCGTTTGTGGCAAACCGCTGACAAAATGAGACGTTCACTCGGTGCACGCTGGGAAGAAGAAGGGAAATGTTGTGCATGTGAAGGCGCGGGAGATTTTAAACCAAGTACGTTTTTTTGAACAAACATGTTGCTAATCTTTAGTTTATGGTAAGATGAGGGTGACATAGCTTTAGCTAGCTTTGATATATTTGTTTAACCAGGTTACAAGCTTCTGTCGACCGTCGCCGAGTCTGTTTGACTTGTTCACAACGCTTTCTATCGTTCGTTGTAAAAAGAGGTGAAACGGTCACGTTGTGCGTTGCATTTCATTTCATTTTTGTTTTAGATACGTCATAGTTATAAACTTGTGAACACCGGTTACTTAAGTTGAAAGCAGTGCTGCATTCCTTTGAATACGAGGTCATCATGATGAACTGTTCACCAGTTGATCCACATGTACAATTGTTTTTACCAGTTGTTCCTTCGGTGCAAGTGTTTAAAGCTCATTTACTGCTTGGAAAATGTGATAAGATCAAATGTAAGCTTTTTTAACTTTCCTCTTCTGCAAAGACAAGTTCATGCGAACATTAATTATTTGACAACTGTACAAAGTTTAAAAATAGGTTTCACATGGGCGTGTTGGTCCCACATCCTTCTGTTTGGCTTGAAAGAAAGTTTGTCAGTTACCAGGAATAATAAGCACTTAATGACTGGCCCCAAGGGAAACGGTGAGTTTTGTTTCCCTGAGACCCTCAGTGTTCCCCGAGGCGAAGCCGTGGGGAACATTGAGGTCGAGGGGAAACAAAACTCACTGTTTCCTGCGGGGCCAGTCATTAAGTGTTTTGTGATACTGTGAAGAAATCGTTTGCTTGATGCCAGCTGCCTCACAAATTTGCCGCAGTTTCAAAGGTGTACGACCAGATCACGTGCAAGTCGAAAGTTCAAGTTGTGGTTTCCTTAGGGAGTTAGTGAGTTTTGTTCACCCTAGGGAGTTAGTAAGTTTTAACCCATGACATGTGACAGATTCTCTTCCAATCAGAAAACATATTTGGGTTGGGAGGTATAACAAAAATACTTGATGAACAGTGTAGCTTCAGCATACAGGGTGATGATCACAGAACAAGTGATTACCAGAAAAGTGCCCTGGAAAGGGAGAGCGAGGCTGATGAGCTCATTTCATATGTTAAATAATTGTGTACCTTGCGGGGCAGCTATTAAAATGAAAGTTTGTCTTGTTGGTATTTCAGTGTTGTTACAATTCAGTACCCTGATGACAAGTCCATAAAGCAACTGCTTATAAATAACAAGCTGAGAAAGGTAGGACTGTACATGTATGTTGAAAGACAGATATCAGACTTTCCAAAATAACTGTAGGCTTACAGTGTAATAACTGTACAACTGTGCACAGCTGGTCTGCCAATGATATTTAATCTTACATCAAAGAAGAAGTTGTCAGTCTTAAAAAGTGCTCCACGTACATGGGCAAACCTTAGCCTCAAGTCAATTTCCTAGTTGTGTCATTGTGTTTCACTTTAATTTGTTACTTGCACTTGGGTAAATTTGCAAAACATTCTCTCCAATTGTATTTGGTTTCCATTGTACACTGATTGTTGGATATTGCATTGTCTATTTATTTTATTGTATTACATGGCATCTAAAACAAATCTAATACAGCTACCAATAAGAATGGGTATCGGCCCAGGCAGTCAATGAAACTTTCATGCAGCAGTTATGACATTTACTGCATCTGCTTTGTGCCACAAAAATTAAGGCTGACACAGGATCATTACTGGATCACTTAACAGCTCATGGGGTTAGCCTCCACACACAAATAAAGGGTAACAAGGAGTTTACCTCTACTGTAAACTCCGCGACCATCACAAACATCAATAATCCTCAGCTTAAAAAGCATATAATGAAATATATGATGAGTGATCGTGTTGTGAGAATTGCCCAGACACCCAATGACTGTATACTCTTATTGTCCATTTTGAGTTTAATAATTATTGTCTCATATTGCTAGAGCTAATATATCCTGGGGTTCAGTAGTGTGAAGAAAATGGGAGGTTTTCTACTTCCCCCGGGATGAGATGACGGTCCATTGTATCTTTAGATATCTCAAGGATTAAATCCATATCTATGTAATCATTTATACACCTGGGTGTATCAATGGGTACACAAAATTATGCTTTCGTAGACACATGAATGATTCTTCAGACTAACAAAGTGGTGTAAAATAGAGCAAAGAGCAAATAAGTTCAGCTATGTGCTACCTATTTACTGATGGAGGTGGTTTCCATTTCATTTTCTATCTCAGACTCTAAGAAGTCGTGGTTGTCCTGTAAAACATAACCTGGAATGTTCCATTATAAGTCCCACCAGTGGGTATACCAGACAACTTTAGTGTGAAAGTTGGGAAAGAACTATTCATGCTTTTTTGGTAAGTCAGAACATTTAAGTTCATTCATTGCTAGCTGCTATCATCAACCAAACACATGTAACAAGGCAGGTCAAATTTAGCTTCGTATGAGATATCTAAAATGATGTATGGCCTGCTGTCAAACTGTTGAATCAAAATTCTTTGTGGTTTAAAGGTGTGATCACAAGTGTGCACTGTGAACAATAACTGTTTTGCCATTGTTGGAAGGGGTTGGTGCGGTGTTAGCCAGAAGTGGTGAGTTGATGGCCTAATGGTTAGTCAGTTGGACTCTGGATCAATAGGTCTGAAATGGAGCCCAAGCTGGGTTCACTGTGTCATGTTCTCAGTCAATACATCCTACCCTCTCAATGCCTCTCTCCACCCAAGAGTGTAAATGGCACTGGCCAATTTGTGAAGGCAACCTGACAATTGCTCGGGGTCACCTGCAGTGGACCAGCATCCCATCAAGGGCGAGAAGCAAAACTCCTAGTCACTTCATGTCACAGAGACTGGAGTTGAGCACCCATGCTGATTATCCATCTGGCTTCTCTGATCCCTTAGGAATGGAACTGGCTTCTATACCCTGTAGCCAGTGAAAACATCACTGGGATGTTCTCATTCCTAGCCACAAAGACTGGAAGGGGGATTTGGTGTCCTGTGTGAAACACACCTTTTACCATTTAAGTCCAGCACCCTTCACTAGATATACCACAGAACTTTTAAGTGAGGGAGGGAAAGGGCTTTTGTTAACATGCACTTTTAGCAAGCACTTCTACAACAGATGACTGGAAACGTGGAGTGGAAGATTGGGTCGAGGGCAGTATTGGATTGTGGAATTGGGTGGGGGAAATCAGGGAATGGTACCCCTTGAGTTTGGTCTTACTGTCAGGTTGATTCAAGAATCCACAGTGAAGGACAATTCCTCAGTAGTGTTTTGGTTGGCACACAGTGTTGTGGCCACCAAAGTCAGGATTCAAATCTCTGAATGAGTCTTTTTTGTGATAGGAAAAAGATGGGTCAAATAAAACAACAGTTATTTCTACATGATATTCAGATGACACACCTCATTTGGATGATGCACAGCTTCTGATTGGCTGTTTAAAATTGTGGGAATGATATTGTATGCTTGTTTGGGATGATGTCACATGTCTTATGCCATAAAAGAGCAGCAGTTGGA